TTGTGTGAAAAATCAACTACCAGTTCTCAATCACCCTAAACGAAATAGGGTGAATACAATTTATATATCGGAATTACTGGTAGTCTCGAAGACCTACTCACTTGCGAAATAAGAGTTTTAGAATGTCGCTAAAATGAGTTTTACCAAGTTTTGATTCCCATTGATGGGTGAAGCTGAGACCCAGTCGAAAGCAAAATTACAGACTAGCTGAAATTAGAAAAATGTTTTTAAATCAAGACCAAATTAAATGCATTGGCTTCGTCAAAATCTGTTCTTAGCATAGTTGTAAAAACTTTTTAATCTTTTTTTTACACAGGGTCATTAATATTTCATTCAATAACACTTTTACCGTTCATCTACTGAGTTCCTAGTCAGTAGTACTATTAGGAGGGGGTGTTGAGAACAGCAAGTCTCACTGATAATGCCGAATATGATGTCAGCGAAACGTCTGAAAATTTGCCATGTCCACGATCATACTCTGGAAATTATCATACATGCTGTAAAGTCCGGGAAAGATGCTTTCCTCTAGGTCTTTCTACCAATATGACCAAGTTTCAAAAGCAAGGTCTAACAAGTTCTAGGCGATAAAGAAAGACCCCAATCATACTGAAGGCCTCACCATCTTGGTATCTATACCTTGGTTAACCTTAAGAGATAATTTATCGATATGAAACTCCTTTTATCCTTTGATATTTATGGATTACAAGCCATACCATCATGGTCTTCATATCTTCGATGTACATCCATTTCAATTATGACGAAATGAAGCGAAGACTTGACTTTGCCCTGAGATTCCTTGCATCCCAACAGTCTGATCCCTTCCAGGTTGATCTGAGGCCATATCTGAAGCGGGCTCTCTGAGAGCTGGATTGGAATTGTGACCGAAATCACCCTCCATCCATCGTCTTCTTGCGCAGAAGTAGAGCTTTTTGTCTTTCATATTTCATAGTAAAGGGTTATTCATGTACTTTTGCTTTTCTAAATTCCTGCCTCCATAGTACTTAAAGAAAAAATCCCCGAGATAAAGGAGAACTACGTACAGCAGTTTGTTTTACTTAGCCCTTGAGCTAAAAGGACGAAAGCTTTGCACAGATTCTCCGATCTTGGAGGAGTCTTCTCTTATGACTAAGACTTTTAAGTTGAGGCTCGTATCAATTCAACATGCAACGGCTCAAGCAAAATCCTCACTTCCCTTAGGACAATACATTTCCAGGATCTATTTGTGTGAATAGCCTCTCAGGAAGCTGAAATCCACATTGTGATCTGTAGTCCTCCTGCATTATATCCAACCTGGCCTCTGGGATTGACACGTCCATAAGGCAATTTGCGACAAATTCATGTATTCGCATGCAATATTCCATTGAGTGAGCTCACCCATTTGCCCTCGATGAGCTAAGCAGTTGATACTGACATGTGAAAGCCACTTGTCCGAACCATAAATCTCCAGTAGAATCATTGTTAGAGAACATTTCATTTCATATGAAAGTGCGTGATTAAGAGATTTGAATGTCAATTTCACGAGAAGACGACGGTTGTTTCGAAGTCGTTTGGCTTTAATCAGGCGTCCAGGTTGACGCAGTCCACAAGACGTCATTCTTCGTTTCCTATGAAAACGGGCTAAGATTTCGTTCATCATACAATGGACATCGTCAGAGCTGGAATTAATGTAAAAGCCTCATGTTAGCCCCGGATTGATAAGACTGTCTGGCTTCATCTTATTTCTTCTCTATGCCCATAAATAAAAAAAGGAATTAGATACACACAGACAGTATGTTAACTTGAGTATGTCTGTGTGTACGTGTGTTAAGGTCTATACGCAGTACCAGTTCTAACTCAGAGTCATTAATGAAACCAAATATCAGGCTCGGGTCACAAAGGCTTGATGATCCAAGAAAAAACCCCGACCAAGACTGCATAAGTCTGTGAGTAGCTCTGGTTGAGACATTAAGAGGTAAGCTTGTAAGCATGTCCTAACCTCTCAGTGTAGGATCATTAAGGTTTAACAACTTAAGAATAGGCCTGACTGGAGCTCGGTAATCTCATACGTCTGGTTTGGTTGCTGAGCTTAATCTAACAGGTTGGACGAGTATGAGTGAGGCTAGAGCTATAATTTGACCGACTGGATGAGTCGCATTTTTTGGGTGGCGATCAAACACCAACCTTTTTTGTCTAAAATCTGTAAATCAAGCATAAGTGGCTTTTATCCAACTTCCTAACACCGTTTTTCACATTCAACGTATTACTAATTTTTTTAATATTTTTTTTATATTAGTAGGTTTACGGAAATGTCAGTAGATCTGATATTAGAGCTGTGTTCACTCTATTTCGTTAGTTGTTGAATTTTCCCACAATGATATTATTGGGAATTACGTTTTTATAGAATTTTATTTAGCCTCATTTTCTAAAATGTATTTTTAGCCCGATTGAGATGGACTACGGTTTCGACATTGCCCAGGTCATATCGGCACCTCCAGCAGGACTCGAACCGTGATAGTGCATCATATAAGCTGGTCCAGTTGTGGGTGGTGATGAGACTAATTTATGCGAGGTTGAAAGTGCAGTCGACTTCTGCCTTTAGGAAAGCGAGGCCATGTGATATTCAATGGAAATATTCATACCATTGTGGAAAAATTCAGCTACGATTCCTTCATCGCCTTAAATTGAATGAGGTGAATAAAACTATAACCTATCTTTCAACAACAGCTTTATCATATTTAGCAAACATCTGCATTGAGACCATTCCATCTCGTGTCCAGTTTCCGGCCACTTCAGACTTTTGGACCAACCTGCCTTGGCAATCATTTTTGTGTTCACCTAATCCTTGACGAATAGGCCAACGTCTCACCAACATAAGGTCGTCCATAGAAGTACACAATCTTTCAGCGGCCGGATCATGATAGTGAGTCATGTTTCTCTTTAAAAACTGGCATAACTGAAGAAAGTTTGAGGGTTTCTTTGAAAATATTTTTACTCCAAACTTTCTTACTAGTTCGCTATTTAAGAAGACAATAGAAAAATTAGGGCATGAGCTTTACCAAAGCCCAGTTTCTCTCCATGTAATCAGAATCGGCTTCATTTTTGCTATATCAAGCATTGGGCTCTCTATGGAAGCTGTACCCTAACGCATTTCAGCTCAGGATGACGTGTCTATCCGTCGAGAGGTGGCTTCTGTCGACCATTCAATCCGGCAAAACCGGAATGCCCCATCTTTAGGCTTCCGGTTTGCAGAAGTGGTTTGAGCTGGTTTTAAAAAAGGGTCATGTGGTATGAGTAACCTGGAGTAGGACGCGCTGTCCGAAGTGCGTTGCCACAGTAGCCATGATAACTTCCAGTAATGGATCATATACCCGGTACACTCTCAGACATTTCCACGGCCTCGCATCTGGCCACTACTTCTTCTATTCCAAGGCTCTTCCCCACACTGCCATGGGGTTCTGCTTCGATAACCAACTTTCCATTGAGCCACAGGCTAGGCCCATATGCGTGCCGCAGAGATGCGTCCTGCCTCAGAGCAGACAAATTTCTTTCTTCGCTTCGTTGATTGAGCTAATTACTGCTATAACAGTCTGCCTCTCCCGCCCACCCGGGCTGGCTCATCTCATGATGGAGACGAATCTGCTTCTAAATGCCTATAGAAGCCATGGTCAAGTGGGTGGGATAGCTGGTGGAAATGTACACTTGCACACAAATTCATACGTAATCACAGACACACACACGCATGTATAAAATCATACATGCATACATGAATACCAACACACATCAGAAGCAAGCATACATGAATGCACATACATCAACACATACATACATACATACATACATACATACATACATACATACATACATACATACATACATACATACATGCATACATACATATTTACATATTTACATGTGGGAATCGAACCCGAGTAGTTCAGTGTGTAATCTTATTTTGGTTTATATGTGAGTTTTCAAGAAAGATGGGAATTTCAGGAAAGACCAAGCATTTTCCCATATCACATTCTGTGGTGGGATTGTTGGTGAAGCAAGGTTGTGTTTATTGCAGCAATTCATTATGCCCAGCCTTCCTTGAAATGCACATATATCCTGTAGCCCAAGGGTCCTCGTGAGAGTGGTAAACGTGTCAAGATTCTTTGCTGCACTGTCACGGTTCGAGTCTCGCCGAGGGTTGAAACTGAAGTCCACTCCGGCCGGGACGAGAATGCCTTTTGGGAAACAGGCCCAAGTAACATTCATTGTAAACGTTAGGCCTACACATAGAATTGCGGGAAAATTGAATTACCAGTCCTTCATCACCTTAACGAAATAGAGCAAAGTGATCTAATATATTTCGTGATTTGTCTGGAATTCTTCATTATTCACTCATGAGTCGAAGCCTACTTTAATCGAACATAAGTAACGTAGTCGTAGGTAATGTCTACTCATATCCTTATTGGAAAATTTAACTACCATTGTCACGTCAAACTAAATAGGATGAATGCAATATAATGTACTCTTGACGTGTTAGCATTGTGCCAAAACTGCCATGAGGGCCCCTGGATGACAGGACAAACATTAGTTTCAAGGAAGATCACATTTTATAGTGGGATTGTTAAAGAGGCGAACAAATATCATGACATTACAAGCAACTACGCTAATTAACTGCATTGGAAGTAGACTTCGAAACTAACAGTTAGTCTTGAATAGAAAGCTGGATCTTCTCATAGCATTATGGGAAAATTCAACCATTATTTCTTCATCAAGTCATGCAATCCTGGTAGACTGAAACATTTATTCATACTTTATTGATACTTCGGAAATATAATTTGTATTAATACAACTCTCACTTTGTCAAGCTGTTCCTTTTTTTTGTCAGCATTCGAGACTTGATGGCCACATCGGCTGTGCCTTAGCGCATATACAGCCACAATTCTTTGCCATTTATTCTTTGTCATTCGTTGGCCATTGTTGGGCGTCTCACTTTATTAAGGAAGTGATCTTTTTCAACTCTTACGTGTCGAATGCGGTCACGCACTTGCTCATTTGGTCATGCTTATTTGTCGGCCCATGAAAGTTGTGGTGAGATTGCAGACTGCAGGAAAGAAGCCTGTACTTTGCTCTACACCGCAATCCCCTCTGGCGAGACATTAAGCCCTAACTCGAGTACAGGAAGCTCGGCTGGAAGTCGTCACGGCCGCGTGGTTCAAGCCCATCACAAACTCAGCCATATACATTGAAAGGCCAGAAAGTCTCAAGCTCAAGCAAATGAGGCGCTCTATGAAGGTGGACAAAGCACCGAAGTGAGTATAAAGCGAAATCAGACAATCAGTCAAGCATACAATCAGCCATTTAAAAGCAGTCATTCCAGCAATCAATCTATTATTCAATAAGTTAAACAGTCATTCAGAACATAATTCACTCAGTCAATCAGTTTATCAGGGAATCAGTCAATTAATCCATCCGTCAATAGGTCAATATGTCAAACAGTCAATAAGCCTTTCAGACAATCAGTCACTCATTCAATTAGTCAATATTTTAATTAGTCATTTGAGTCACTCAGACCATCAACCAAATAGTCAATAGGTAAATCATTCAATCAGACAATCAGACAATCAGTCACTCATTCAATTAGTCAATCAGATAATCAGTCAATAT